GCGCGGTCCATCAAACTCCACGGTGTGCGGGCCCAAAGCGTCACCCGGACGATAATCATTTGTTCATAAACATATATAATTTATTATTCATTAGTAAATTATTTTTTGGATGAATGAAGATATTATATGCGGTTAGCGAAGACAGATATATGGTGGCAGAATTTTCAACGATCGGTCAGAGAAGGTGTTTTCTGAGCAAATGAGTTTTCGTGCTTGGCGACAACTTCATTTTTATCACTTCTCAATTTCCAATCTCAAACAGACATGCCCCTCTTACAATAATGAATTCTAAGTATGGAAAGCGACATTTGGTAGTTTATGGAGGAGATAATTTCTAGAAAATCGAACATCCAGTAAGGATTGATAGTAAGTTGCAGGACGTGACAATCATTGATTCACTACTGACAGACTTCAACCGATAATAATATTATGATAACACACAACATACATGAGCGCCGACATGCGAACTATTTTGCGCTCTCATGTGGGATCAGTATGCTGTGTCACAACAAACAAAAGCTGTGACGAAAGGCTAAAAGCTGTGTGTGATGCATTAGAGCGGCATCTGAGAAGCTGACAAAGGCTAGGTATGCAGCAGGCGTCATATTGCCTTGCCAGCGTCTCTTCCAGGGTCTATACAATATAGCCAGCTACGCGTTAGCACCGTATAGCTATATAGCCAGTACGCTACTAGACGTGATACGCTATATAGCCAGTTACGCTATTACGCACGTTATAGCCTATAATACGCAGTACGCTAATAGCACGTATAAACTATATAGCCAGTATGCGCTATAGCACGTATAGCCAGTCGTTATAGCACGTATAAACTGTCAGTACGCGTATCAGCAACCTATAGCCAGTACGGCTATAGCCACGTATACGCCAGTGACGGGTATAGCACCCCTCTACTACCAGTACCGCTATATGAGCACGTATAAGCCAGTACGCTATAACCACGTCATAACCCATACGCTATAGCACTTGTAGGAGCCAGCTATGCGTATAGCACGTATAGCCAGCTTACGCCTATTAAGAACGGGTATAGCCAGTACGCTATATCACCTATAGCCTGTACGCTATAGCACGTATAGCTACTATAGCCAGTACGCTATACACGTATAGCTATATAGCCTGTACGCTATAGCCCACGGTTTTAGCCACGTACACTATAGCGACGGTGTAACGCAGGTCAGCGCTCTAGCATGCTACTAGCTAGTATTAGCCAGTACGCGATATCAGCACCGTATAGCTTTTAGCGCAGTACGACTATACCACGGTATAGCGTATATAACCACGGTACGCTATACGCACGGTCATTAGCCTACTAGTGCCAGTTACACCAGGCACGGTATAGCTATTAGCCAGTATGCCATAGCCACGTATTAGCCAAGGTACGCTATATCACGCTATGACCAGTCACCGCTTATAGCTCACCTACTAGCCCGGCGTCTGGTGGAGTACGTTATACACGTATAGCAGTATGCCTATAAGCACCTATAGCCATGTCCGCTATAGCACTGTATAGGCCAGATA